TGTGGAAAACAGAGGAGCTTTTCCAAGATGAGAATTTTAAAGTTGTTGAGCCTCTACTGAAAATAGAGGAGCTTTTTCAGATGAGAATTTTAAAGTTGTTTGAGCTTTTGCTGAGAGCAGAGGAGCTTTTCCAAAAACAAAAATAAAAAAAAAAATAAAAAAATTCACGATCTATTTCGCGACAAAATTCATTGTCTTTGTCTTGCCCTATTACTGATTTCTCAGTAATGGTAAAGAGGGGCAACTGTAGATACGATTTTGTCCGGGTCTACCATTTTATTAATAAACAAACAAAAAAACAAAATAAACAAACAAAAGAAACAGAATAAGATAGAAGTCAGGGAGTTGGTACGGCGCCGCTGTCGCCAGCCCCCGACCAACTACCCTACCAGCCCCCGACCAGCCTCCCGACCAGTCACCCTACAGCCACCAACCAACTACCTTACAGAAACCTAGATTCCCCTAATTGAAGCCTTTAAAAATCTCCAGCCATTTCCTTTTCGGAAAAAAAAAAAGGAAAAAAAGAGCTGGCTGAAATCCCCTTCAATCTCCCTCTGGAATCCCCATTCAACCCAGACAGACCCCATTCCTACGCGTAAAAAACTCAGTTTCACGCAACCCCCCCAAAGCACCCAAACGAAAACAGATCTACACAAAACAAAAAAAACAACACAGTCCTCCCCGCAGGGAGGAACCCAACGCCGAAGCTACCTGCAAAAGCAAAGAAAATTGCATCAATCTTGTTTCAACAAAAACAAACGAAAAAAGTCTTGAAAACAGAAACTTTGAACCTCGATCACGCTGATCGGGGCTGCTTCCGGTGAAAAGGAGACCGGATATGGAAAGAGGGCATCTCGAGGAGTCTTCGTGACCTTCTAACCATTTTCCGATCACCGGCGACCACCGCGACGGTGGACCAGGCGGCGGCCGACAAGGCGATCCGACGGCCGGACGGCGATCGGCCGAACCCCTCCCCCAGAGCTCTCTCTCTCGTTTTTTTTTCTGAAAACAGGACCAAATGAACAAAAAAAAATTTTTTTCAAGTTATTTATAGAAAAAATTAAAAGCAAAACGACGTCGTTTTGGGCATAGGGCCAAAACGACACCGTTTCAGCTAAGGAGGATCCGCGCGTCCACCGCGACCCCGACCCGGGTCCGCGCACCCGACCCGCGACCCGTTTCCTTCATCAGCATCTGACCGGTCTGACTGGACCAGAACCGAACCGCCCAGACCGAACCGAACCGGAACCGAACCGCCCAGACCGAACCGAACCGGTACTGGACCGTCCAGACCGAACCGAACCGTCGAACCAAACCGGGCGTTGACCGGTCCGGGTTCAGGTAAAAAAATTTTTTTATTTTTTTACTTTTTATTTTATTAATATTTATGTATGTTAAAATGTTTATATTTGTTAAACTAATTGATGAAATTGTAGTTAAATTTTTTTATTTTTAAGATAAACTTTAAAAACAATTATATAAAAATAAATTTAATAATAATACTAAAGTGATAAAAAATGAAAGAAAGAAAATTTTTATCCGACGATGAGATTTAAAGGTATTCCGAGTAGTGATGCCTACGAAATCTCTAGGTGAGAAGATTTTTTTAAATACTACCAGCGTATTGGAGTATTTATAAAAAATTTTTCAATACAGTAAAGATTTTCTTTTTTAAGAATAATAAATAAAAATTGATGAATATATTAAAAATATAAGTAATAAAATAGGAAGAAAAAAATTTAATCCAATGATGAGATTCTAAAAGTATTCGAGTAGAGATGCTTTAAGAAATCTCTAGGTGAGAAGATTTTTTAAAATATTACCAGCGTATTGGAATATTTATAGAAAATTTTCAATATGATTAAATTCCTTTTTTTTCTTCAAAATTTTAATTAAAATTAATAAAATAATTAATAAATTTTTGAATGAGAATAAAATGTGTGCATAAACATGAAAATATTTTGCATGGCATGCATGACATAATTTCTACGAAAAGTAAGTTTAGACCTCCAAAGATGAGATTCTAAAAGTATTCCGAGTAGAGATGCTTTAAGAAATCTCTAGGTGAGAAAGAATTCTTTTAATGTTACCAACGTACTGGAACATTTTAAGAATTATTTCAATAAAAAGGTTTTAATTTATTTTTCTCGAGAATAAATTTTTTTAACATGACATTTCTTACGAAAAATAAATTCGAGCCTCCAAAGATGAGATTCTAAAAAGTATTCCGAGTAGAGATGCTTTAAGAAATCTCTAGGTGAGAAAGAGTTCTTTTAATGTTACCAACGTACTGGAACATTTTAAGAATTATTTCAATAAAAAGGTTTGATTTATTTTCTCGAGAATAATTTTTAATAAATAAAAAATCAAGAAAATTATTTTTTTAATATTGAAAATAAGACTGTTTGTAAATCAAAGGATAACACGTTGTTAATTGGTACCGTTTTTAACGGGCGTTGTGGGGTGCTAATCCTTCCTCACGCGTAACCGACTCCCGAACTCAGACTGTTTCGCAGACCGTAAAATTATCTTTTTAATAAATTTTAATTAATTTTAAGATTTCATTAAAAAGGTATGTTTTAATAGGTGGCCAATCGCACCTAGCCAAAAAAGATTGGTGGCGACTCCGTTTTTTTTATTTCGTTTCCAAATTCGTCGGGCGGACGCAAAACCGTTACGACAAGCATCTCAAAAAGAACATATTTCATTCCTTCTTTCTATCCTAGATCAACATATTCTGTCAACCAATTTGCAAATTGCAATATGATTTTTGTTCATGTAGGAGATTGATAGAGGAATGGAAGAAAACATTAAGATTGTAGAGATGGATCTTGGTGGTTCAAAGGGAAGTTTGAAGAGTAGAGACAGCTATTCGCACCATCCACAAGAACGAGTCGTGGAACATAGATTCTCAACTCATTATTCCTTAAATAGTGCATACTCGAAGCAAGATAATTGTCAGGTATCTCCAGCAACATCAGCTTTAACTGACATGAGTACCAGAGTCCGCAGTGGTCATTTTGAGGACTATTCTTTCGGCACAGAACAAACCAGCCCCCAATGTTATTCAGCTATCTCCAAACCTGATCCGTCAAAGCTTCCTTTTGCATTTCCAAGGCCTGAATATGCAGAATCTGTGTCATATGACTACCCCTTATTCCCCAATTACATGGCTAACACAGAATCTTCACGAGCCAAAGTCAGATCACAAAGTGCACCGAAATCAAGGCCTGATTCATTTGAAAGGCAACCAAGCAGGCGACGGGGATCGATGGAAGGCAGAAATCATGTCCCGAGGGCCGTAAGGATGCAACGGTCATCTTCACACGTAGGAGCCACTGCTCAAAACTACCAATACCCCTGGTCAATCAAACTAAATAGATCGACAGTCTCCCTTATAGACAGTGAGTGTGGATCCACCAGTACGGTACTCACAAACACCAACTACTGCAGATCCCTTGTTGCACTTGATGTAAGTATCAAATAACACCAAAAGCAAATCATTAAAATCTCAGAAATCAGAAATGATTCAATATAAATATTAAAGAATGATATATTCGGCTTCATTTACATTATTAATTTGGTTGGTTTCTTTGTGGCTGTAGCCTTATGGAGATGGGTACTAATAGCATATCTCGATTACCATTGGGACTAAAATGGATTGTGGCTCAACTCAACTGAAACAGAAAATGCTGATATACATCAAATAAGAATGGGAGAAGACAAAGAAACTGACATCTATTATTAATGTAGAAGCTGGTATAGTGGCATGACAAATTTTCATTCCTGATTTCAAAGTTAATAACTCTTTGTAGAGAGGTTTTTCTTCTTTGCTTTTAGATGTTTTGAGCATGCGTTGTTTGAATGTCTTCCTTTGGCAAACCATAAGGAAACTGACCAGCAAAAATTGCAGGGCTCAGTTTTACTGATTTAGTAACGTTATGTCAATAGAAATTCATGGTGTGATTTATTCCCTAATCATGGACTTTTAATTTGATTTAAGTTTAATGTAAATCAACTTCTTTGCCACAAAAATTCATGATTCCCCTTTTTCTCTTTTTTCTGAGAAATAAATCTAAACTACCACATTATAAATACTCTCTAACTTCATTTAAGAGAGGCATGGAGATTTTCAGTTCCCCCACAATGATCATAATTACAGTAGCACCAGCTTCATGGTTTGCTTAAAAGCCGAAAATTTGCTGCATTTATTTCTTTTACCTCTTTTTTTCTTCCAATAGGGTATTTGACACTTGACTGTTGACACTGCCAGGGGATCCATGTGCTGTTTTCCTGTTTTCAAATTGCTAATTTTATATCTCTTTTGAAGTGGTAATTTGTATTACAGCTCATGTTCATGTCTTGATATGATACAAGAAATAAAGGAAAATAAGCCAATGATCATTTAATTGAACATGTTCAAAGCAACATTATGAAGAAACAACGAAATCAGAGTATTTATCTTTTGATTTTTATTTATTTGAATTTTTGGATAAGCGAAAATTTATTCCATCATCCAAAAGAAGCAGAAATATTTGCTACAGAGTTTTAGAAAACTGTTATTATACCAGAAACAGCAGCTGTCTAACTATAGCTGGAATGACTTATTTTTACAGACGCAAGAGGATTTATCTTATAAACCAAATTAAATATTATGAAAACCACTAAAAAAGAAGAAGAAAAGAAGAAGAAGAAGAAGAAATCTCAAGCATTTTATACTCAGTCTAAGACATAATGGTCAATGGGATGAAACAAATCACTCGCAAAATAAAAGGGCTCTTTTATTTTTACTTCAACAGGAAAGCTGAAGAAAGAAAAGCTCTAGTGAGGAGAAAATGCTACCTGGAATTCGAGGAGAAAAGAGAAAAAAAAAAGAAAATAATCAGGCCAATAGAATGTGTGAGTTGACCAGGTTCCTTGTATGCATCTCTCAAAAATTATTTGAAGTTTGTCAAAAACTATAGCTTCAAAATAATTCCTGGGTATCTGCAAAACAAGCGGATGTTTGGTTCAAAACATCCCCACATGCAATGTCCAAGAGATTAAACCCGAAAGAAAACACCATTATTCCTCGTCACTTTTATTCATAACATGGCATATAATTTTTGATGCGATTGTAATATCTTATATATAAATTAATTGAGTAAATCCCACATTTCAATTTAATTAATGATTACATATCATGTCAAAAAAAATAAAAATTTTAAACAAAGTTGATGGAACATATAGCATGAGGCCAAGCCGGAGGCCAAGCCGAAGGCTTAGTTTGGAATTTTATTTTTTACAAAAATAAAACAATAGTTTCTTCCAGGTTTGGGTCAGTTCTTCCAGGCTTAGTTTGGATTTGAACCTTCATTTGCCTAATGGGCAGGTCCATGTCTCTTTACCAGCCCAAGTTTGCATATTAAAGGTGAAAAATAGACTTTGGGTTCCACTACTTTTTATCAACAATCATCTGAAAATGTTTCTGTTAGACATCGGGGCTTAGTTAAGACTGATGGCCGAGATGTTTTGGGAGTTTTGAAGGCCCATTAGGTCTAGCTGTTAGTACTTATTTTTGCTAACTCGAGCCAAAATAAACTCGATTTCGAAAATTTATTTTAAAACATCCGAAATTGAATTCGTACAAATCTGATTTGATAAAAAAAATCAAAGATTTAAATTTAAAAAATTTTGCATTGAAAATAATTTAAATTATAAAAAAATTGAACAATGAACCAAATCCAATTCAACTCGGCTAGTTAAAAAAATATAATTCTAAGAAAAATCATTCTTGAATAACATTTTTACCGGCGGTATGATTTGTCCAATTAGGGAGGAAGCAAGGAAGTGTGGCTTTTATTTTGGTTGTGTCTCACTCTAATAAAAAAAATTATTTAAATTAATAAAATTGTATTAAGGATATTTTAAAATATTCTTAATAAATAAATTAATTTTTTAATAGAAGTATTTTGGTTGATAACTTTTACCACTTAGTTTGATCGTGTCTCAATAGAAGTCTAATAATAAATATAATTTAAATTTATGAAATTTTATGAAGAATATTTTTAAATATTATTAATAAAATAAATTAAAATTTTAATAGAGATATTTTGGTTGATCGCTTTTATCATTTAGTTTGATTGTGTCTCAGTAAGAGCTTAATAATAAAAAATAATTTAAATTAATAAATTTTATTAGAACTATTTTTAAAAAAAATTTAATAAAATAAATTATAATTTTTAATAAGGGTATTTTAACTAATCACTTTTATCAATGTTGGATTTCACACTTGTATATAAATGTAAACTCCAAAAGTGATAAAAGTAATTGACCAAAAAATATATATTTACTCATTTGCTTTTTTTATTTATTTTTACGTATGATCAATTCAATAATCTTTTGCTTACAAAATAAAATCATAATTATGATTAGAATTTGAAACTTCTAATATTAAGTTCTAAGTTTGAATTTTGAAATGAAATAAATAAGATTTATGATAAGAAAGAGATTTGTTATGGTAAAAATCCTCTCTACTACTAAAAGATAGTAAAAAATCCACTACTTTAATGTTTATTGAAATTAATCTATAGTTAAAATTATAATAATATTAATGTGCAAAAATTTTTAACCAAAGTTTGTTTGAAAATATATGTGTCATAGTTATATTTCAGTTATTTTATGTCAAGAGCTAGTATTTGATATAATATCAATATAAAATTTTAATTACTCAAATGATGTTTAAAAATAAGATACATTTCTCATTTTTTTAATTAATTTTTTATTTTTTAAACATACTTAAGAAACATATGTTACTTTGTTAATCCTGTTTGTGTAATTAAAATTTTACATTAATAATATATCAAATGCTATCTCTTTATGTCAAATATTAATATAAATGCTTTTTAATTTTTTTCACTTTTTTGTGTATTAACTAATGCTACTGTAATCTACATACTTTTTTTATAATAAAATAAAGGTATCTTTAGATTTTATTTAACTTAATCATTTTCTCTAAATATTTTAAATACATTTGCGAAATGCTTCTCACAAAAAGTTTGAACATTTTTTAAAAAAGACTTTGGAGCAACACTTGTGAGTGTGACTGTATACTTTGGAGTAAAAAAAAAAATCAGTTTTTTTTTTTTTTTTTTTAAAAAGAATCATTCTCTCCTAGAAAAAAGCTTTATACATTATACACAAAGCAATATCCTTTTGCTGGGTGACTTGCTTTTTTTCGGCTTATTTTGGATTCTTAACCATGGAGATTAAATAACTAAAGCATGGGGGACGGGGATAAGCAATAGCAATGATAGGACTTTGGATGGTCAATATGTTAATCTCAATGAAAATGGTTTTCATCAATGGAATTGTGATCATGAAAAATTATTGAATAATTGAAATTGAAACTTTATATTATACAATCTTAGGAGCTATTCATGAGTAGAGAAGAGGTTTTCATCTTTTTCAAAATATTTTGAAAGTTTCCATTCCAATCCATTCATTTTCCCAATCAATGAGAGGAAAAAAGAAAGAAAGCACTTGAATTATGGTCCAATTCAAATCCATTTCCAATTCCACTTCCTCTTCAATTATTGGAAGATAAGCCAAACCACATGGTCACTTTGCAATCCTGCATGCCCATCCCTCTCATGGTTTTCTGTCTCTTTCTCTCTAATTTTCAGAGAAAGCTGATATCTTTTTATGGACTTAATTCCTTACTATATCAATATCGATAATCATATGCTATAAGAAAACTTTATGGCTGAATTTAATTGAAGCATTGGATCATGTAAAAGAAAGGTGAATTTGGATAGTTAAAATGGATCCACATAATTAATATTATTTGAAATGCAAATAATAATTCTAGCTTCCTCTCAAAAAAAGAATATAAAAAGAAAAAGATAAATGATGAAAAGCATTAGAAAATATGTCTTATTCATCTAATCAAGTAATGCATTAATGCATATCGAACGCTCTCTAAATTGTTTATACATTTTAAAATTAATATAATAAATAATTTCTTATTACAATCATTAATCACTATTATATATGCGTGTGTACACGCACATTTATTTCTTAGAGAAATAAGAAAAGGAAAAGGAAAAAGAATGTGGACAAGGGAGATTCCTCTTTCCCTTTAGAAATTATTGTATGTTCCACATTTATTCACGTTTCCCAAATTAAGAAGATGCATAAAACCCCCTCTCTCACCTTGAATTTCATCATATGTACTAAAAAGATATTATTTGTGGCTTTGGTACGTAGATAATATTTGTTTTATGGTCTCCATGAAAGTGAATATATGGCTGGCATATTCTTTTAAAGTTGTTACTCATCGTTTTATTTTGCTCCTTCTTCTTCCTCTAAAATTTCATACATATTAAAACAAGCTAAAATAATAATAAAAAATTTTAAATTTTATCACTCTATTTAGATAAATCTCTATGTTTTTATTATACTCAAAACAGGCTCTTGATCTTTTATTTGTAACCAAATAAATTTTTAAGCTTTAATTTGTATCTAAATAACTTTTAAATTTGAACCTAAACTCTTAACATAAATTAATTTTTTATTTAAAATACAAATTTATTTAGATAAAAAAAAGGTTTATCTGAAATCTTTATTGCTTATTAAGGGTTGCTTTAAACTTATTTATTTAAATCGGTACTGTATACCACATCGCTGCCATGTCATACATTGAAAATTAGACTCTGTTACCATTTTTGATATTGTAGACACCTTATTTAATTCAAGATATTTTTTAATTTAATTTTATGATT